TTGTCTGGCAGTGGCAGCAGATATGCGATCAAATTTATAATTTGAAGCTGTATTACATCGATTCTGGCACCCAACATCACAACCAGATGATATTTTAAGCTCCTTATGTAGCTGAATCTGCACTGGTTTGAATGGGCTGTCTCCAGCTAGCGCTGTGACGTCGCTGACCCTAGTTAGCTGTGGTTGGCCTGGCCGTGCGTCACTCAGAAAACATCAGGCCAATCAGAAGAGAGGCTAAATCGGCTAAATCAGACCAAAATCGACCTGTTCTCAGCAGAGCTCCTGAGGAGCTGTAAAAATATATTGAGATGCTTTTTGGTACTTACACCGCAAATATATATTCTTATGGACATCAAAACCTAAAAAAAAAACCTCCAGAAAGGTGTACAATATGGGACCTTTAAGTCATTTAAATGGTACAAATTGTAGAAATAATACTAAACATTGGAAGCGTTTTTGTTACCTCTACGCTGTTGGAATCAGAGGAAGTCTTGATAATCAGCCCAACGACATACTTTTTAATTCCTGTGGACAGAGACAGATGTCTGTTATTTGTGCATTTCTTAAGAGTCATCAGGATTTCACATGACAGCAGTGTTATATAATGTGGAGGTGTACAATAAATCCTCTATAAAGACCAAGGTCAGTGTGCGCGAATGTTCAGACTGAAGTCGTACAGTCCCTCACCATCACACTGGTTTCGAGGAAGAATCTTCCAGCGTGTTTTGATCACGGTCTCCAGTATCTGAAGAGCATAGTACTGCAAAAGAGTAACCATCAGTTTAGTGTGGCAGAATAAATGCTCACGGGTGGCATTTAGTTGCAGGACTCTATACACTGGCTAAATGCAGAAATAAACACATTAATGTTAACATACTTTTGTCTTCATGTTCTGCGAGAACTCCAGTATGGTGTCCACTCTGGTCCAGGCATCTGGGTGGTCCTTCAGGTTGGTGAGAACTTCTTGTGCCAGTCTTTGCTATAAAATAATCACAGCGAAAACCACTTTTGATGCACTGTACGCTCAGAATAGTCTTGGATTTCTCAAATCGACTCGTACCTGAGATCCCACATCATAGTACATGGAGTTGACCACGTTGTCCAGCAGGTTGATGTCTAGCTTTTGACTGAAGTCCAGCAACTGCCGTGCTGTGTGATCCGCCAACATGGTCATGTCTGCCGGCATAGAGCTGTAAGACAAGACGGACAACATCTTTTAGGTATCAAACATCAATAGCGACACTAATGTGACCACTCATCCTAACGGTTTACTAGTTGTTTAACCAGAATTATCTCTGATGCTAAAAGTCAGATACCAAAGCAATGGCTCAAAACACATTACTTAAGCATGCAGCTACAACCTATAATGACAGTTTTGCTGAGTTCGCCGTTACAATAGCTAGTATTACTAGTTAAACGCTTCTAAAAAAAAAGTGCTAACATGGCAGTTCAACACAAATTAAATGCGTGTTCCTTCTACAGCTAGAAAAACACAGCGAGTCAACAGATCATGTACACTGATCAAACTTTTTAGAAAGCAGCCCACATGAATTCTAGTTGAGCGCCTTGCAGTTACGGGCAGCGGAGAGGAACAAAACGCGTTTTCGTTTCTGGTCAACACTAGCAGTGTGTCAGCAAACTAGCACTTCATTCAACTCACTAATCGTAGTAGATACTATTTATAACAGATAACCGTTTCACCAAATACCTCAAGAACAACCTTTAACTTACCTGTTTTAACCAAAACTCCTTCTCGTTGAAAAAAAACAACAACAATGCTAACGTGGTTTGGGAATTAGCAACTAGTTTAGTGTCCTGGAAACGTGCGTCGCGTCAAAACAAGATCAAGATGTCAGGTAAAAAAAGCGCCTAACGTATTTATCTCATTTTACACGGATAGCGTGTATTAAAAATGCAATCTGAGCATCTAGCAAGTTCACTTCAAATGCTAACTAGCTGGTTAGCTCTCTGTATAGCCAAACACTCTATAGTGCGAAACATACGGTACATGAAACCCCCCCCAAAACATACGATTTCGGTGTTATTTTTAATTATTGTCTTCAGTAATTGAGTCCAGGTCCTCTTTCAGTCAGCAGCTCGTGTTAGTTCATCTGTCTCGCTGTATGACGGTTTACAGCTCGCTTTAACTACTCATTCCGCTTTATAACAACAGCATCCAACCAATCGTTAGTTTATTCTTTTGTCTATTGCAGAAAAGCCGCTGTTTTGAAAGCAGATATCTGCGAGAGACTGTGACCCAGCTCCTCTCTAGTCTCATGCATCACACGCAAGACCGGTTGAAACCGGTTCAGACTGGCATATTCCATCTCGGTTTAGTTTTCACGCCGTAGCGCCGCGTAAAATTCGGACTGCGGCCACGCCCTCCGCTGCAGCTGATTGGTCGGAGAGAGCGACGCGGAAGCCTTGCGCGCATGTGATTGGGTAGAGGTGCCGTCAGTCAGGATTGACCCCTCCCTGCGCGTCTTTTGCCCTTGGTCTCATGTATGAGGCGGGTTTTGCATCGCCGCGTGAGCGTGTTGTGGGCTGGACCGCGTGGAGTATGGAAAATTACTGAGATGTTGCCTGTGATGTTCAAACAGTAACTGACCGTGATGTGTATTTTTAGGCTGTGGCTCATGTGTAAAATGATTTATATGCTCGTATTTATATTCACCAAATATGAAAAGAAGTGAAAATTGCAATAATAAAGTTTATTTTCACATATTAAGTTATTTTTTTCTTTCATTGCATATACAAACACTCATTTAATTTGTAACATATTTTATAATATTGCGTTTTTGGCCCTTTGTTAAATATATATGATAGTGGACAGGCATTTATTTCCACACACACATATATATATACACTACATTACTGTATATCGAGTAAATGCCGTGCGTCCAGGTCACATTCTGCCTCAAATTAAAAATAAAAAAAGGACATTATACCTTGCATAAAGAAATCTTTAAGCTTTTTATAATCAGTTGCATTGCAGCATTATTATTATTATTGATAATCAAGCACATTTCCCCTCAAAATTCCCATTACTCTAAGAAAATAATATACTTTATATCATATAAATATACATAAACTGTTTGGTTATCTACATTCTAAAAAATATCTTCTTTTGTTTTCAGCAGTAAATGATGGCAGAATTTTCATTTTTGGGTGAACTATCCCTTTAATAAAGTTTGTGAGATTTTCTCACACATATATCCAACAACAATTTGCTACTGAGGTTTGCTTTGTTTAAAAATAAATTCAATATGTAGAATAAAGCTAATGGCCACTTTTCTGATCTTCCCGTTTTTCTTTGTTACCTAATTAATACTACCTGTTCTGCTTCTGTCGCAATGGTGACTGTTTTTACTTTCACTACCCCTGCTGCTCTGGCTGTGCTTCCTGCTGACGTCATCATCTTTATAACGCTCATCCTGTTCATCATCATCATCATCATCAAAAGCCAGCTTGTCATGATACGAGTGTCCTTCATCGTTGCCCTTTTCCTCGTCAGTGTCATGACATTCACTGTGCCTGTCGTCCTCATCTCTGTCCATGTGTTCTGCCTCCATGTCATGGTCATACTCCTCGTAATCATCTGCATAGTCTTCGAGAAGAGAATCCTGCAGGTCTGGAAGTTCCTCATTATCGTCATTTCTGTTTTTACTACAAAAGAATGAATGAAAACAACTCAAGAGATGCTGCGAAAAATAAATATGGTTTTAAACATGCAAAATTAGCAGTATTTTCCTTTTTGGAAGAAGTGTTTCTTTTAATACACTTTTAAAGGGGTCATATGATGCTGCTAAAAAGAACATTATTTTGTGTATTTGGTGTAATGAAATGTGTTTATGCGGTTTAAGGTTCAAAAAACACATTATTTTCCACATACTGTACATTATTGTTTCTCCTCTATGCCCCGCCTTTCTGAAACGCGTCGATTTTTACAAAGCTCATCGAGAAAAGCGAGGTGTGCTCTGATTGGCCAGCTATCCAGTGCGTTGTGATTGGTTGAATACCTCAAGCGTGTGACGGAAATGTTACGTCCCTCACCATACTGTGATGCCTGCGGCAACCACATGTGACGACACCGATGGACTCCGCTTCGTCCACGGTGAAAGCCGATCCGGCGATCCACCGTGCGAAGTTGTAGTATTTCCTCAGCAACCAGCACGGATCAGCTCCAGGCATGACGAAGCAGATATCGTCCTCTTTTGGAAGACCAAACAAAGTAGATTCGCAAGTGAGGCCTGCAGTTCTTTAGATGTTGTTCTGGGTTCTTCTATGACCTCTTGGATGAATCGTCGTTGTGCTCTTGGAGTAATTTTGGTTGGCTGGCAACTCCTGGGAAGGTTCACCATTGTTCCAAGTTTTCTCAATTTGTGGATAATGGCTCTGACCGTGGTTCACTGGAGTCCCAAAGCCTTAGGAATGGCTTTATAATCCTTTCCAGACTGATACATGTCAACTGTTTTGATTCTCATCTGTTCTTGAATTTTTTTAGATCACGGCATGATGTGTTGCTCTTTAAGCATGCTTCACTTTGTCAGACAGGTTCTATTTAAGTGATTTCTTGATTCAACAGGTCTGGTAGTAATCAGGCCTGGGTGTGGCTAGTGAAATTTAACTCAGCTTTCTATATCTCATATCGTCCTCTTTTGGAAGACCAAACAAAGTAGATTCGCTTTCACAACGAATCACACAGTGCCTTCACGACATGGCGGCGGCGGCAACAACAATACTACAGCGAGAATAAAAGTCACGCCTTCTTTCTTTGCGTGAACATTTGGGCGGCGTTATGCAAATCTTCCCACATAGTGACGTAGACATGTTGGGGGTGTGTTCGAACGAGGCGTTTTAGGTAGGCGTGGTTGACTCTGAACATTTATAAAGAATATCTCTTTGGATTTGAGACTTTAGTCTTTGCAACTTTACAGATCTTCTTTATGCACCAAGAGCTTGTAACACTCCAAAGAGAAAGGAAAAATTGAAATCGCATCATATGACCCCTTTAAAATGTATGACAGAATATAGACCTCCTGGCTCTTCTACCTGTATGTGGGTGGAGTTTGGCTGCCGGAGTGGGCGGGGCTTGGAGTCTGCCTGTGTTTCAAGCCTTTAGGAGCTTTACTGCTGATAAAGAATTCACTCAGACCACATCCATGCAAAGTGGCAGAGTAGAGCTTTTCTGCTGCTCTCTTAGCATTCATCTGAGAAAGAGAGAGCTTTGTATTATCATCACAATGAACATTTCTAGTAGAGATGCATGTCCTCTCTTTTCCTAAAAGGAACCTTTTTGAGTAAAAATAACATTTTCAAAAATAAAAAAAGACCAAAATAAATTACAAATTTAAAAAATGATAAAATAAAATAAAATAAAATAAAAAAAACTCACCTGTGCTACCTGTTCCAGTAAAAGAGGTCTTCCCTTCACTCTTTCCTGGATTTCTCTCATCTCCTCCCAGTACTCTCTTTGTCTCTGAAGATCTTGTTTCCTGTTCCCATGTGCACATGTATATGAGTATTTATCATAATAGTGATAATATATATATATATATATATATACACACAGTATATATAGATAGATATTTTATGCAAGCAATCTGCATTTGAATAAGAAAATATCTCCAATGTTTCAAAAACTCTTGCACTAACATCAAAAACTCATCCCCACAGAACCTTTCTGTGATTTTTTTTTTCTTAGCATGAAGGATATTTTAATAATCTAAGAACCTTTTTGTGGAATGGTAAGGTTCTTCACTGAACCGTCAATTCCAATAAAGAACCTGTACTTTTAAAAGTGTTGTTTGAGGTAAACGAAGAGCAGCTTATGGAAAGCTTCATTGTTTTACCTGAACTCTTTTAGTTTGGACGGGCATGTCTGGGCCAGGGTCACGTGCGGGTCGTTCGCCTGGGCTCGCTTTGTGATCACTTTTTGTAGTCTCTTCTCTCTCTGTTTTTGCTTCTCCTTCCATTTCTCCTCCTCCTCTTCTTCCCGCTTTCTCTGCTCAAGAACTTTTCTACCCGTAGGGGTAAAGAGCTGTCAGAACTGAACTTTATGAAGGAGGGACTCCTCTAATGGGATGATGCTACGGTAGGCCAGCAGGGACAGGGTTCGGGATCAATGGACAGGTGCTGCCTTCAAGTCATGTCACAATGATCACATTTCTTAATATACACACACGTCAGTGCCACCAAAATATCATATTTCTAGTGGGAAACTCATTCATTTTTTGAGTGCCAAATTTTCAAGTTGGGTGTCAATTAAAGTGTAAGAGCAAATTGATGTAGGTCATAATTAAGTTTTTATTGCAAATGTGGAACTTTACAGTTTAGTTTGTATACATTTTGGGGATTTTTGATGAACAGCACTAAAGCTTGCTAGAAATTACTATGCATTTATCTGGATTGTGAAGTGATAGGCTTTGCACGTAAAAACCCACTCCCTCTGTATTTTCCATCATATCATTTGCTCTTCATGTTGGCTGAACTCAGAATAGCATACTAAACTTACCTATTTGTTATTTTGTTAAATCAAGTTTGAGCTAAACTCTGCAGGACACTGGTCCTCAAGGACCCGAACTAGACACTCCTGCCCTATAGAGAAAATGAATGGTATTTTTACTTCCGGATCCTAAATGTTGCACACTTTAGTAAGAGTAGTAAGCTACACTCTTAAAAATTAAGATTCTTTATTGCCATTGTTGGTTCGATTAAGAATCCATGGAACCTTTCCATTACACAAAATGGTTCTTTAAAGTGGGGGGAAAAGTTTTATTTTTTAGATATTTAAAATGTTCATCATGCTAAGAAAAAATAGTTATTTTACCAAAAACCCCCTTTTGGAAACTATATAAGAGTGTAGTATACTATTTTTAATTCAGCCTTTGTGTTAGAGCTAAAAACATTCTTTGTCAGGAAGTGAATAGGAGAAATAAATATGAATTTACTTAACACTTCCATTTCATTTTGACTGAAACATCTTGAATTCATTTCTGAACTCGTAAGTATGAACCACCCACGAGGACTTGAAGGCAGCAAGAGGATTGAGGAGCATCGGCAACATTCCCAGTGAGGTTTTCTACAGTTGATGGAGTTATTAATGGGAGACACACTGGCAGGGAAAGTCACATTCCTGCTTAGCAAAAAGCTGGAGACACAGGACTTCACTTGGAAAGTTCTAGAAGGGTGAGGGTTTAAACCAGGGCTGGGCATCACAGTTACCTCACAGCTTCTTGCCGTTTCTTGGCTCCATCTGTGATTTTAGCAGACAAGCATTCCTGGCTTCCAGACAGGGAGGAGCAAAGGGATGACGAGGG